CTATATGGGGCACGCCCTGCCCCACTGTGACCCTCAACCCAAGGGTTCCTCCCAGTGAGGGCCTGAAGAGGCCTCTTGAGTGCAGAGTGAATGCCGCAGGCATGGGGTAGGGAGGACAGGGACAGGTCTGCCAGCCCGAGGGCAAAAGCCATCAGATGCCTTTTGACAGTAGTTCTACAAGGTCAGGTGCACAAGGATCCTGCAGAGCTGCATATTCCTCACCTTGGAGACCGAGTGGGTGGCAGGGCAACGGATCTCTGGGCAGGGACTGGAGGCTGGGAGGAACTGGGGGCCTCCAAGGATGAGGACGGAGCTGGGGCCAGCCAGGCCCACTCTGCCTAGTCATCATCTAGGTCAGGACCTCTTTCTCCATTACACTTGTCCCTCAGTATCCACAGGGAACCAAAATCTGTGATGCTTAAGACCCTGTATGAAATGGGGTCGTGTTCATGTGTGACCCTCATGACACTCCCATGCATTTTAAATCATCTCTAGGTGACATATAATACCTAGCACAATGCAAATGCTGTGCAAATGATTGTTACACTGTCTTGTTTAGGAAAGTGTGAGGATGAAAAGTTGGTAAATGTTCAGGGCAGGAATAATGTGTGTGGGTATGTATGTGTGTGTTCTGGTGATTGAACCCAGTGCCCCACTCACGCTAGGAAAGCTCTCTACTACTGTGCTACTTTTGAGATAGTGTGTTGCTAAGCTTCTTAGGCTGGCCTCAAACTCCCAGAGTGTCAGGATTACAGGTGTGTGCAGCTGTACCTAGCACAGATGTAATTTTTTTTTTTGAGATAAGATCTTGCTATGTAGCACAGGCTGACTTCAAATTCTCAATCCTCCTATCTCAGCCTCCCAAGAACTGGGGTTACAGATGTGTTCTACCCTGCCTAGTTTGAGAGCTTTTTTTTTTCTTGTAGTTCTAGAAATTGAACTCAGGGCCTTCACAAAGGGTAGGCGAGCCAAGAACAGGAAGCATCCTTGGGTAGCAACAGGCTGCCTGTGGGAAGTGGGGCTTATGATATAAACACCAGATAGGTTTCCTGTACTTCTCACCTCAACCCAGCAGCCAGAAATAAGGTGGTACAGCCACTGAGCCTGGGTACAGCAGCACTGCCTTGAAGAGGGGCCCCCAAGGTCTCTGGCCAGGCCTCAACCCCTCTACTCTCATCCATGGTGAGTGTGCACAGGTGTGTGCACTTTGAGAGCCTGGCCACTGCCCCTCACCCCCACCATTCTCAAGATTCTACCAGCTCAAATCCAGAAACAGAAGAGGACCCCTTTACTCACATGCCTGCTGAAGAGTGAGGGAGTGGGAATTCTTGTAGGAACAAATGGAGGCTTATTTGTCTCTACTTCAGGGCCTGGCATAGGGAAGGCCCTCAGGAAATGTTGGACGGAGAGATAACAGAGAGATAGATGGATGGGTGGGAGGAAGGAAGGAAGGGTGGATGGACAGATGAATGAAAAAATGAATGCTGGACAAGTAGATGAATGGATGATGCAGAGAGGCAGGAACATGGCCTCTGGCCTCAACTGGGGCTCCTATTCCCTCCCAGAGCTTTCATCCCACCCCTGCTATTCCTTATAATTTTGTTTAGAGCATGACTAATTTGTTGGATGCATTTTCACACACGTATGCTGTCACAGTTTGGGTCTGGATTTTCCCCCAAGGCCTCACACGCCCAGAAGCGGAGCTTGTCAAGTGAGATTGGATTAAACCAGCGCTACAGCTCTGGCCAGAAGAGGCGGGTCACGGGGGGCGTGGCCTTGTCGCATGTGTCTCCTCCCTGGCTCCTCCCTTCTCTCGCTGTTTCTTGGCCGCCATGTTGTGAATATTTCTGCTCTGCAGCAGACCCCACTTCCATGCCACTTCTGCCCTGGAGCCAGCCACCTCTAAAAAAACGTGAGCCAAAGTAAACCTTCCTCCTTTAAATTGCGGGTATCCGTAAGGGGAAAGTGACTAAGACGTATGAATCCATTCAGCTACCACCAAGATCAAGGTACAGAACAGTCCCAACTTTCCAGGAGGCCCCCATATCCCACTCCACTTTTGTCTTAGTGAATTTCTCAGTGCTGGGATTAAATATCCAATATCCACAAGTTAAAAGAGTAAAGGTTTATTTTAGTTCATAATTTGTAGAGGTGTCAGTCCATATTTGGCAAGCAGCAAGGCAAGGTGGCTCGACACAAAGACATGACTGAGGAGAAAGAAGTCACGGCGGGGCAGTGCGAGGTCCTTCTTTCCTTTTTAATTCCATCCGTACTCCAAGCCTATTGGGTGGTGCCACCCACATCTAAGTGTGTCTTCCCCCCTCAGTAAGTCCAGAACTGTGCTAAACCAATCAGACTAATCCAGCAGCATGATCACCCATGATCAGGTCACTCCAAAAAGCCCCATCTAGGGCCGGGGATTTAGCTCAGCGGTTCGGTGGCCTGCCTTGCAAGCGCAAGGACCTGAGTTTGAAACCCAATACCAAAACAACAACAACAACAACAAACAAACAAAAAGCCCCATCTATGAGGCTTTGGGGAGACCTCTAGATATAAGCCATAACAACTTTGTTTTGAGGCCGGGGATAGCTCAGCGGTTCGGTGGCCTGCCTTGCAAGCGCAAGGACCTGAGTTTGAAACCCAATACCAAAACAACAACAACAACAACAAACAAACAAAAAGCCCCATCTATGAGGCTTTGGGGAGACCTCTAGATATAAGCCATAACAACTTTGTTTTGTTGTGATTTGCTGAGACAGGATCTCACGAGATTGCCCAGATTGGTCTGAAACTCCTGAGCTTGAACAGTCCTCCCTCCTCAGCTTCCCAAGTAGCTGGGACTATAAGTGCACACCCAGCTTTTCACCACACTTCAAAGCAGTATCACATCCCATAAATACCAGCCCAATGTGCTCCTCTAAAAATTAATAGCAGATGCCCACACACTCAGCCTCTAAGCCCACAAGTCTCCCTGGGGCCTCTTTCTCCATCTACATCAGATCAGGCCCTAATTCCTGTCCACACAGCCTTACCGTGGTCATCTTCTGTCCCCCCTCCTGCCCCACTGCCTCACTTAGCCTGGACCAGGCAGCTGCTCCTACCTCAGCCCTCCTTTCCAATCACCACCCCTACATGGCTTCTTAGAAGATGAGGTGGCTATTCAGCAATTCCTGGAAATGTGCAGGGAGTAGCTGTTAGCCCAGCTGGTCCCTGGGCCCGTAGAGACTGAGTGGCAGCCAGTTCTAGCCTGTTGACTGGTCACATGCACCCTAAGGACTCCAAGGCCCTCCCTAGGTCCCCCGTGGGGGGTGCCAGAAGAAGGAGAACATTAAGGGCAGGACTCAGGCTTGAAGAAAATGGTCCCACAGTCTGAGATGCATTTCCCCACAAAGACAGGATGTGACCAATGGGAAAGAGAAGTGGGGAATAAAGTCCAGACAAAGGGTGGGAAATACCATTCTTAGTTGGGCAGCCGCAGGGAAGGGGCTGTTGGATGGTGAGCTCATGTGGAAAGTGGAAATGCCCTTGGGCCTCCCTCCACAAGGGAATATCCACCCTGGCCCAGGCCAGCTGTTCCAAGGTGACAGTTGCCAACATTTGCCAGCGGTTTACTCATTATTTTAGAGTTTTCATGAGTGCCCTCAAAGCCCCTCACTGGGCTCATTCCTCCTCTTGCATCCTCTGACCCTTTTCATTCCTCATCTTAGTCATCTCAGCAGCTAGAACAAAACACATCAGACTCCCTTGTTAATAAAATAACTTCATGTCTGCAAAAAAAAAATTAAATAAATAAAGGTACAAGATCCCCCCGCCCCAAAGAAACCACATCAGACTGTTGTAGTTTAAATGCCATTTAGTCTTCACAGTTGTAGAGTTTGGGAAGCCCAACATCAAGCTTGGCTCCAGTGATTACATCCCTTCTGGCCTTCATGTCCCTTCATCCAGATTCTTTGTCCACGTCCTCCCCATCTACTCCCCGCAGAAGGTTTAATTCTCTGGTAAGGGCTGTCTTCCTGGCTTGCAGGTGGTTGCCTTCTCGCTGTGTGCTTATACAGTGGAGACTGAGACAGCTCTGATGCCTCTTCTTATAAGGGCACTAATCCCATCATGAAGCCCCCACCTTCATGACCTCATCTTAACTTCATTACCTCCCTGTGGCCCTGGTTTCAAATCCCATCACATTGATGATCAGGGATTCAATGTTTTGATTTTGGAGAACACAAACATTCAGTCTATAAAACTTCTCTTCCATACAATCTTCCCCACTCTGTGCTGTGACTTCCTCGTTATTACTCATCTAGCTGGGAGCCTCAGGGGACAGGGCTGTCATACTCCAATATCTCTGGCTCAGGACCTAGCCCCATAGGTGCTCAATAAAACTGATAGAAAATAGACTAGGTGAAAGCATGCCTGAGGAGGCAGGTGAGAGCCTCTCACACCAGCCCTAATGTCCTGGGGACTCCTGTCTTCCCTCTGCCTCTGCTTGTGGAGGAGGCAGGGAGGGAGGGAGGGTGTGACCTCTGCCCCTCCCTCCTGATGCCTTCTGAAACCCTCCTTCCTAGAGAGACCTGAGCTGTGTGACCAAGGACAGACACATTAGTGGCTTAGCTAATTCTTAGGGACCTTATTTTTTGAGAGAATGGGAAAGAGAGATAGAGGGATCAAATATTTTTTCCCCTTAACTACCAAGTGAGTCAAAGGGAGAAAGGCCCTTAGCCCAAGCCCAGCCTTTAATAATCAGCCCCCTTTTGTGAGCACCTGCTGTGTGTCAGGGGCCATGCTAAATGCTTTACTTCCATGGTCTCATTTACTCTTTACCACAGCCTCTGAAGAGGCCATTACTATTACTGGCAACATCCCCATTTTACAGGTATGCACCCCAAGACACAGCGCTGTGAAAACCCCTGCCAGGAAAGACCCACACTGGATCTGTCATGTCCCAAAGTCACTGTGCTTCTGGGCCCTGGACTGTGTTTTCTCCACAGCTCTGCTCCTTGCAGCTGCTCCCTCATCCACCCTAGACAGCGACAGCAGCAGGATTTGTGGCTTGTGCCTCAGGAAGCTGAAGGTGGGGTCTGGGGGAATGGGGGCCTCTGGTACACGCAGGCCTCGGGTGGATCATCGGGCTGGGCAGAGCTGGTTGGCAGGTCATGGCCCATGGTGCCCCTGCTGAAGGATGAATCTTTAGTGTTTGCAAGAAAACGCAGGTCTGCACAAGAGCGCAGGATTTGGTGACAAGAAGGTGGACCACCCGAAGGACAGCCTGACCTGTGCAAGTGGGGACTTCTGGGAAGTGGGTTTGGGAGCCTCTGAGGCATGAAACAGGTTTATTTTTCATCATAAACCTTCTAGCAACATGATTATTTTTAATTTTAAAAAGTTTAATACTGGGAATTGAACCCAGGGCCTTGTGTATGCTAAGCAATTGCTGAGCCACATCCATCCTGCCCTCTTTTCTTAAATTTTCTCTTGAACTCTGTCTTGCTAAGTTACCCAGGCTGGGTTTGAACTTGTGATCCTCCTGCCTCAGCCTCCTGAGTATATGGGATGACAAGAAAACTTTACTTTTCTTTGCTTTTTTGGTACTGGGGATCAAACTTGGGTCCTTGGTGCTTATGAGGCAGGTGCCAGAACCACTGAGCTAAATCCCCAGCCCAAAACTTTACTTTTCAAAGCGACACATCAAGTCAAAGGCTCTTTTTCCATTTGCAGGTGTATGTATGGCACTTCTTACTTTTTCTTCCCCTTCCACAACTTCTACCTCTTCTTTTGATTTTTTCCAGGAAGTAAAAATGTTAGACATCTGGGTATAGTGCAAGGTCTGACATGGAGTCTTGGGCATCTTGGGGCATGGAGGTGGATGGGCTGGATCATCTGATCCAGAAGTTAATGGACGTCACCACGGGGCACGTGTGACCAACTGTGTTATGCATGTGCAGAGTTCCCACGTGATGGCCCGGCCTGCATCTAGGCAAAGTTCCCTGAGAGCCCTCATTTCTTCTCGCAGCAGCCTTGCAGGTTAACACTGGGCAAGCAACGTACTCGCGGGGCCTGGAAGCAGCAAACTATCTTCCCAGGAGGAAACGGGGAAATGGGGCTGATGGTGTGGACCAGGGACATTTCTCTGGGGCTTCAAATTTTTGCTTTGTGCCTGATGCTGTAGAAGCAAGCATTCCACCCCCTTCATGCTGGCTCATTCAGGCCACCCGTGTGGGCCGCCCTGAAAACCTTCTTGCCCATTACTAATAGGGACACCAGTGAACAGTTAACCAGAAGGCAGAGCACAAGAATGAATAGGTGTCACCCAGGCCAGGAAGAATCCTCTGGGCCCACTAGGAAAGGGTAAGATGCACAGATGTGGAATGTGTATTTGCCAAGCTTTTGGGCTTTGTGGAAGGTTTACTCAGCAACGCCAAAATATTTATACCTTCAAAAAGCCTTCATTCTCAAACAGCATTTTGTATTTATTTATTTGTGATACTGGGGATTGAACTCAGGACCTTGCACTTGCAGGCCCTTCAAACAGCATTTTGTTTACTTGGGCGAATGATCTCTCCAACCACTTCCTCCTCTCTGGCCTTCATGTCCCTTCACCCGCCAAACTTCGTCCACCTCCTCCCTCCCTATCCATACTCACCGGAGCCCCAGCTGGATGCTCTGACCTGCAGCAGAGGAAGGCAGCTGCAGCCCTAGGGCCCAAGGGTGGATCAGGCTGACCAGGACGTGGGCTGGTGCAGAGTCCTCCCAGTCAGTGCGTCCTGGCCTCTTTCACAACCTCCCACTGCTCATTTTCCAACAGAATCAGAAACCGAAGCACTGGTCCCAACCCATTCTCACATCTTGTACAAGTTCAGCGTCTTGTGCGGTGCCCTGCTGAGTGACAGCTGACTCACCTGGATAGGGCAGACCCAGCTAGGGCTCTACTGTTTGTCAGCCTTACTTTATTTCATTTCCCTAAGTGTGTCTCATTTTATTATTTTTTCTTTCATTTTTGGCAGTACTGAGCATGCTAGGATCTCAAGCATGCTAGTAGGCAAGCCACCTACCACTGAGTTGCACTCCTAACCATTTTTATTTGATCTTGAGATAGAGCCTTGCTAAATTACCAAGGCCTGCCTTGAACTTCGAATCTTCCTGCCTCAGGCTCCCAAGTACCTGGGATTATAGGTGTGAGTCCCTGTGCCCAGCTCAGCTTGATATTTTTAAGGGACATCCATTGTGATGAATGAACACATGGTATAGAAGTTAACTATAACATTTTGCACTCCAATAAAATATAAGTATAGTAAAGCAGTTGCACAGTTAACTTCCAATTCTCCCTTCACATGGGTTTGGTGAAGCCCCTGGGTAGAAGTATAGTAGTTGGGGTGGGGCCTCTGCCCAGATGTCCCTTGTCATGCTGCTAGGCATTCCCACCTACAGCGTATGTGCATGCATTGGTGGCACCAGTCTTCACCCCCTAAATGAGCGCCGAGCCTTTCACTTGTGACCTCACAGCTCATTGAGCCCACCTGCAGCTTTACTAGGTCTCCTCTGATTTCAATTTTTGGTTCCTGATTTGGAACTCCAGAGTTCCATGATACAGGGGCCTTTGATGAACATGGTATCCTGACATTTTTGAAATCTTGATTGCAACAAGAAAGAAGCCATCACCAAGGAAAAGATGCCAGCATTCTTCTCATATGGGGCAGGGATGCATGCATCTTTGGTTTTGCAATAGTGATAGCAGCATCCCATAGAGCTGCCTGAGGCTCTATGGTAATAGGTTGTCCTCACTGTGAGATTGCATGGGTGATGAGCATGTTTGAGAAAGAGGCTGATATCTGGCTGAGTCCAGAGATGGCTGGGAATAGGGAGGGAATAGGGATCCTAGACTCAGTGAGGCATCTGGAGGCTCCCTGCAGGGAGAGGCAAGTCTGGGGCCCTGCAGCAAGGGCTGAGGTGCAAGGAAGAGTCAGGAGAAGACGTCTTAGGAGGGTCCGGCCCAGGGACCACTGCGGCTCTGCTTTCCAGGATCCAGTTTTAAAGCTTTTCCACCCCACAAAATGACATCTTCTCAGACTTGTAGTAAAGTTTTGCTTGCCTTTGCTCACATTTTCCTAGCTGTGCCTGTGCATGGGTGAGGGGGAAGAGCCTGTGTCCATGTTTGTGATGGGACAGTGCACATGGCCGTAGGCTGGAGAAACTGGTGATGGGAACCTGAGGTGATTTACAAGGAATAGTGGAGTCACCCAGAGTGAGAGATGAGCCTAGAGCTGACCAGGATGGATCTGTAGGACATATAAGCATCCCTAAGCATTTGCAGGAATGTTGGGGACAGTGCTCTGGTGCTCAGAGGACCTTGGGCACATCGAGATAGTCTTTTACACGGAGCCTGCAGGAAGCGGGACTTGGAGCCAAGGGAGCCAGCTAGGCCCCGGGCTCCTCTGGCTAAGAGACATTCGAGTGCTAGGTTGGGAAAACCATTCCTTTGAGGTCACTTTTTGCCTCTCATTGCATGGGCCCTGCTGACCCCCAGCCCCAACTTGGTCTGGCCCATTGCATCCACTATTTCCTACTCATTACACGTGGCTTCCACTGGCTCCACAATGAAGTTCACTGCTCTGTAGCAGGATGGAGAAGATATGGCTTACCAGGTGAAACTCAAAATACATCAGCTATATCATATGCTTGCCAAGAGTAAAGAGGAAAATGGCCCATATTTCTGAATAGCAGGCCAGGCAGACTTAGTTTCATCTCAGATCCTCAGATTCTGGTAGCACGTTGGAAGAAGTAGATTTTGTTCCAGTGAAGGTCCAGGAAAGTGAAAGCTGTTAAGTGGAGGTGTCTTGGAGAATTGTCAGTCAGAGACTGGCCAGGTGTTAACAATTCTGCCTCTTCTTCCTTTATGCACAGCAAAACTACATTTCCCAGCCTCCCTTGCAGTTAGACTGGGGTCATGTGGCCATGATCTGACCAGTGAAGTGTAGCAGGGATATCAAGCACTTCCAGACTTGGCCACAAACCCCAGTGAGGTTCTCTTTGTGTGATGTTCTCCTACCTGTGTGGATGGGATGGGAGGACCCCAAGATGATGAGAGCTTTTCACGGAAGGATCCTGAATCACTGCCATCTCTTGGGGAATAATTTGCCAGAAAGCAGCTTCTAATGAACAAGAGAAACTTTTATTTGGTTTGGTTTGGTTTGGGGTTTTTGAGCTGGAATTGAACTCATGGTCATATCATGCTCAGTATATACTCTACCACTGAGATACACCCAGATTCCCTTGTGTTAAGACTCTGTGCTTTGGGCAAAGTTTATTTGTAGCTGCAGTCTAATCCAACTTTGCCTAATACAGGCCTGGAAGGTTGAATACTGAAAACTGGGATATGAGAGTGGTCTTCAAACAGTACTTGAATGGGTCACATGGCTGCAGCCACCACAACTAAGGCCAGTGGATAAAGTGGTTCTACTTTGGCTCATTAATAGTTAATATTTTCTGCCCAACCCTAGAGTGACTTGTCTTGGATAGCAGTGAGTCATCTGCTATTGGTTGTGTTTGTGAACCATAGTTTTTGAGGGATGTGGAAGGGATACTTCAGAGCTAAGGGCTTAAATAGCATGATCTGTCTGGTATATTCCAGCACCAATATCTAATGTCTAACCCAGCTCTATTCTCCTGGGAGTTGTTGAATGAAAGTAAATGGGATTGAAATCCCAGTATTTCCTCAGTGCACTAGACATCACTGTGACCCAGGATGGATGTCATCAAAGACCACTGTCTTGCCAGATGGATTCCAGGAAGGGAGGCTGCAGAATCATCAAGTACAAGAAGTGGATTTTCAAAAAAAGCTTGGATCCAAGAGGGTCAGATTCTGGCTCTCTCTTCATTGATTCAGCTGGTGGAAAACAGCAGATGGAGATGTATTTGTGTTGAAGATTTCTCCCACTCTGACCAAACCCACAGGCCAGTGTGTATAGACAGGATGATGAGTCCTCACTTTACTAAGCAACACTGGCAAATGAGAAAGGAATCTTAATGGTTTCTGCCACCTTCGGTCCAAACCAGATGGACTTTTTCCTCCCACCCATTCCTCAGGAAAGGAAGAAGCCTTAATCCCCAATAATGTCCTTACTTAGTCTTAGAATAAGCATCTACTCTTGCAGAACACTTCAGGACTCCAGGATCTTGACCAGGGGGATTAAGTGACCAAATCAAATTTACATTTCAATAAGATGCACTTAATCCTTAGCGATAAACATGTTGTTTATAAACATGTTGCTGTCTCTGTTGAGAAGATCCTCCAGCCTGAAGAGGCTTGTCAACATGTGGGCTTCCCCAGACAACAACCCACCATTGAAATCCCTGAAGAGATTAATGTAGTGGGTCATTCTGCTTTGGGACTCTGCTCTGGTAAGGAGGAGATAGTCTGATGGAGGCCCCATTGTTCTGGGGAAGAGCTATGCAACAAGTACAAAGGGTCGAGCAGCCAAAGACAGAGGGAGTAGCATTCTCCAAACCACAGGGCTAGGCTCTGTCCTCAAAAGGGAGGTAATCAAGTTAAATCCCAGAGTGGATGACAGTTAGCATGAGGAAAGAGAGAGAACCCTGTTTCACTGGAGGGCTCTGTTGATCATTTGTTGGCTGGCCAAGGGCAGATCCCCCAATTGCTCTGAGTTTTTTCTGAGGTCAATTCTGGGGTTTTACTGATGGCTTTGGGAGTTTCAAGGACCCTCTAGATGTCTCAAGTGTTGGAAGACCCCCTCCTATAGAAAGACTGCAGTACACCCCACTGTGGCTGGTTACTTTTCTTTATTTGCAGACTGAGGTTTGCTACATAAATCCATTGCATGGTCCAATACATGTATGCTTCTCATGTATGTATGTAAAACATAAGATAATACAAAAATACACTTCTCCATAGTAAACAGAATTGCCCTCAACTCATCCTAATCCATGCCAGAAGGAACGCCAGGACAGTGCTCAAAGTCAAAATAGGGAAGAATACTGTGGAATGAAGATACAGGAGGGCTCAGCCAATGCTATTGCCCCGGTAAGATCCTGGTTCTTCTTCCAGGAAAAAGAAGAGAAACTCCCAGGTGGTTCGAGTCTCAATTCCACAGGGAATTGGAATGGGGCTTCACAGCCAAGTGTAACCTTTGGACCGCAGTATGCACCCTTCCTGGAGCATATCAGCTTGGGTTATCCACCTCTGGGCTCCTCTGATGTAAGGAATAAGAGACACAACTAAAGGATGAGCCTCTTGGAGGCTGGTGAGCAGAGGGAAGGAAGGTTGAAGATGAAGTTCTGCCTGCCCTCCCAACTTCCACTCTTCGCAGATTTCAGAAACGTCCTACTGATGCCAACCACTGCCCTTTCCCTGTTCCCTGCCCTAGTCCCTTACCACCATTCAGCCTCCCTAGCTCTTGGTCTGGAGAGACTCAAATCCCAGGTATTTGAGAACATGCCCTGTGAAGCCAGAGAGGCTCTAGCCCCCGTATAGAAAGTGTGGAGGGCTATTATTTCTGTGAAGGTGATCTCCTGGGGCAGCAAGTGACTCCTCTGGCCTTGGGTATGTTCACCAGGCTAGGGATGTGCTTGGCACAGTACAAAAGCCAAGCCCCTCATTCAAACAAGTCAGATGAGGCTGAAGCACCCCTTGACCTCGCTCTGCTGCTCCTCAGAGAACTTTGAAGAGGTGGTACGCAGGGAGCAGGAAGCTGCAAAATGGAACAGAAGAAACCTGTGCATGCACGGAGGGTGGGAGGGACACCTCAACATGGCCAGGCACAAAAGCTGCAAGAGACGAGCCTTGGACCCAGTCTACCAGGACAGAAAAAAGTGGTGGTCTGAGTCTTGGGCTTCATATGCCCCTGGATCCACGGTCATCTCCAGGTAGGGACATCAGGCAGAGGAGCCTGCGTGGAAAACAGGCAAGGTAGTTCCCAGCCACCTCGCCTCTTGGTCATAGGAGCTATTTAAGCCAGAGTGGAGCTTAAACCCAGGCCTGTGGGCTGGAAGATGCCAGGATGCATGCATGGGTTTTGTTGGTCTGCGTGTATCTGAGAACCCTTGGATAATGCTGTGCTCCTCTCTGAGCTGCTGGATGCTCCACAGTGTGTATGGAAGTGGCCGGGAAGAGACACGACCATCGCCTCAGTGTCTTGGCAAACAGTTGCCATGGAGACCTTGGCATTTTTCTCTCTCTCTCTGTCCGTGTGTGTCCACTGTGGCACTTTTGGGGAGATGGAGACAGAAAGCTAAGTAGCAGAAATGTGTCAAGAACTTGGTTAAGGACAAAGTGCTTGTTCGCAGGGACCCAGGCATCTTCTCCCTGGGAGCCCTGGACTTTGTGTCTGCCATTAGCCTTCAGACTTGGGGGATCTTCTCACCTCTCCCTGTACAGCATGGCATGGCTGGAGAGGGGGTTTCTCTCTGCCACACTCCCCCCAGTGTCCCTCTTTCCATCCCAGTGCTGGAAATGCCATCTCCCCATCCACCTCATTGTGCAGTGGCTCTCAAGTGTCAATGGCTACGACACAGCCTCGTGTGTCACCGCATCAGGTAACTGCCTGTACATTTGTACAGGTATCATCTGTGACAGCAGGGACACTGGAAGGCGGTGGCAGGTGAACACCTGCGTACTCGCCTTCACCTCCCAACTCCCCAGCCTCTGTGTCCTCGAACTCTACACCCCCACCCCAGCTGCTCTTCGCAAACTTCCTGAGAGTGACAGACCACTGCCTCCCTCCCACCAGAGCCCCAGCTGGCAGCAGAGGATGCCCAGGAAATGACAGGGCTCATTCTATCCTGGACGGTGCAGCTGGCCTCACCAAGCTGGAGCAGGCCTCCAGGGTCGAGGGAAGCCTGGCTGCGGCCAGTACCTCCATCCCTCCAGCGGAAGAAGCACCTGCCAGGTCAAAGTGGGAGGCAGCCACAGGACCAAAAGGCCAGTTGGCTGAAGGCTCAGGCCTCACCTATCCCCACACACAGGTGACCCAGGCTAGGCCACAGGGGACCCTCCCACTCCAGGCGAGCTAGGGGTCTGGAAGGCCGAATGCAGCTTGGTTAGCAACTCAGGCTCCTCGCCCTGGGCCCCGCTTTTCACAGAGGTCTCGGGGGCACCCAGTGGGTAGGCTTCCGGAGCCTGGCCCGTCCTGGCACAGGTGAGGAAGGCCAGGCAGGCCCCGCGGAGGCGCGCCAGGTCCCTGTGTGTGGTCTCGCTGACGAAGCAGTACAGCACGGGGTCGGCGACGCAGTTGAAGCTGGTGAGGAGCAGGGAGAAGTGATAGGCATTGAAGATGCTCTTGGCGAACTCACAGCTCGCCTCCCAGACGCTGCGCACCAGCAGCAGCACGTGGTAGGGCAGGAAGCAGGCCAGGAAGATGACCACAGTGCTGAGCACCAGCCGCTGGATCTGGTCCTTGCGGCTCTTCTGGGTGCCGTGGCTCCGGCGCACAGCCTGCAGGATGCCCCGGTAGGAGGCCAGCAGCAGGCACAGGGGGAAGAGGAAGCCCACCAGGAAGCGGTAGTAGTTGATGCTGCGTTGCCAGGCTTGGATGGGGTAGTGCTCGAAGCAGACACGGTGCTGGTATTTGTCCTCGATGACCTCCTGGTGCATGAGAAAGAAGATGCTGCTCAGTAGCTCTTTGGCCCAGATGACCACACTCACACCCACGGCTGCCTTGAGGGTACGAAACTGGTGGAAGCGGAAGGGATGGGCCACGGCCAGGTAGCGGTCGATGGAGATGCAGCAGAGGAAACCCACGCTAATGTAGATGTTCTCATACAGCAGGATGCCGCACACTTGGCAGGACAGGTCGCCATGGGACCAGTGGTCGTGCTGCAACACGTACTGCAGCCAGAAGGGGAGCGAGCAGATGTAGAAGAGGTCCGCCATGGTCAGGTTGCACAGATACACGCCCAGCTCATTCCGGGCCTTGATCTGTAGGTAGCCGAAGTAGAGGGATAGGCAGTTGGCCGGGAAGCCCACCACCAGCACTGTGATGTAGACCACAGGGGCTAGCGTCTGGTGGATGGTGTGGTCAATGGTACAGGTCAGCGAGGCATTGTCCGCGGTGGTGTTCCCCATCTTTGGGCTGGGAGGGGCCTCACCCTCCATGGGCTCAGGGACTCCCCACCGCCATCTTGTTTACAGAAGGTGGCTCAAGCTATATGGAGGGGAGGGCATCACTGGTGGTGGGCGAGCCCCTGAAAGTCAAAGGTGGGAAAGTCTTAGAATAGTCGCAGCTAGCATGTACACAGCACCTACTGCGTGTGAGGCATGGCTCTGTGTGTTGTACTCCTTTCATTTGTGAGGTATGATTGAAAACTATGGAAAATGTTTAAAATTTTTTTAGAAAACTATTATAGCAAAGACATATTGCCATTAGTCCACCTTAAGACACCGCCCCGCCCCCCCGTGCTTGGAACACATTATTCCATAGTTCCTGCCACTTTCCGAAGTCCTCGGTTGAGTGCCTTCAGTTGTATTATTGTGGCTGCCTCGGGGTGCTGAATTGACTGAAAATGTTTACCCTTCATGGACATTTTGACTTTGGGGAAGAGCCAAAAGTTGCCCGGTGCAAGATCCAGTGAATACGATGAATGGGGACACACAATAATGTTTCTACAAGCCAGACTTTCCACTGGGTGGCACGGGGCAACAGCAGTCACTGAATTTTTGATCACAGCTTGTAAAGGCACTCATGAAAGAAGATTTTCCAGAACTGCTTCAGAAAATGGTAAGAACTATGGGATAAGTGTATTAGAAGAGAAGGGGGAATTTTTTGTTTTGTTTTGTTTTTGGTACCAGGGATCCTTGTGCTTGGGAGGCAGGCAGCGGAACCACTAGCTAAATCTCCAGCACAGGGGAAGTTTTTTGAGGGGGATAATTGGCAATGTCTTTTACTGTAATAAATTTTTTTATTTAAACATTCACCATGCATTCTAGTCACTGCTTATAGATTCTACCAACCAACTCCAATGCAAATAGAATATCTGAATGGGTCACATACAAAAACCCTGGAATGTGGCTTATGGCTCCTTATTCCTTCTCTGGCTTTCCTTATATATATTCCCTATCCTTTATTTATTTTCCTGGTCTCTATATTTGCAGCAAGTCCAGGAGAACGGGGAGCATGAGTCCAGCCTGTGTCCCGCTCTGCAAGGGAGGCTCAAGGCAAACATCCATTCCAACCCAAACACAACCGTGAGGGCCCTTGGGCTACAGCGATAGCGTCGCTCACATTTTTCCTACTTGCTCATAGGACTGCATTAATTGGGTCCATTAACTCTGAGCCCACGGCCTCTACTTGGAGGAGGCCTATCCAGACAGTCTCAGAGGAGCTGTGGCCTTGTCCATATCCTGTTGTGACCCGGCAAGAAACAAAAACTTTCTGCAGGACCCAGCCCCATGCCTGGGTGCTCCTCAGCAGTGCTACCTCTCCTCCTCTGTGGAGCCTGGGAAAGGTTTTGGATCGGGGACTGAAAGAAATGAGCACCAGGCCAGGGCCAGTCACACTGGACTGTGCAAGTCACTTACCTTTGGGGAGACTCAGTTTCCTACCTGAGAAATGGAGATGAGGACACCTGCCCCTAGGGATCGGTATCAGGGCCACACTGAATGACAGATATGAACATGAGGAGCATAGTTTTTTTTTTTCTCAAAGTGAAAAGGGGAGTCAGAGACAAGAATCTTAGTTTGACTCAGGGTAAAGTTCCCATTGTTGAGATTTTAACAGAGGAGATGCCAAGTACACAAATAAGTTTTAACAAGGCAAGATAAAATGTTTTGTTATAATCATACATATTTATCTTATTATGTCTTGCTTTTTAAGTTTAGTATGATATTTTCAAGGTTCATCCATGTGTTTGAATGTCCTGCTTTTGAAGACTGAATAAAATGCTACTATATGCATGTGTCTACTTTTGTTTATTCATTTGTCAAGGATATTTTGGGCTGTTTTCACCTTCTGGGTATTTGCAATAATACTGCTGTGAGCCTGGATGTGCAAAGACCTGTTCAAGTTCCCACTTTCAGTTCTTTAGGGTACGTACCCAGAACTGGAATGGCTGGATCACACAGTAGTTCTGTGCTGAATTTCTGATAAACTGCCGTATTGTTTTCCATAATGGAGACACCATTTTGGACCAGCAGCGTACACGGGCATTGCTTATTTGTTTATCTGCTTTCATTTACACATTTTGGTGATCAGAGGAAAGGAAGAAGGATCAGTTGAGGACTGGGGCCCCCAAATGCACACAGATGGCTAAGTCAGAATTGAACCCACACTGTGGGGCCCATCACTCATCAGGCTCGCTTACAAAGATGTCAACAGTAGCACAGGCTCTTGCATGGTCCCCAGAGGGTACTGACTCAGAACCGTTCATGTCTGCCCGGGGTTCTCTAGCCCAAGTAAAATTCACTGGCAGGAAGTTACAATCCATTCAAAAGCACAGGCAAAGCAAATGAAGCCACCATGAAAACCTGTCCTGTCAGGTCTTGGAAATTCCCTGGGATTCACCAGGCCGCACGTCTGTTGTTTATGAGTGGTGAGTATATGGCTTTGTGGGGTGGGGCGGGGCAATGGTTTGTAGCTTCCTCTTTCCTAGGCCAGTAGTAAGCTAAACCTGGTGACCCACGTCAGAAATATTCGAATCTGCAGAGCCAAGAAACAACATTTACTACATTTAGATTAAAGCACTTCCTATGGTCAGTTTGGAGCAAAAAGAAAAGTAGGTCTTGAACTTGGGTGCACTGGAATCCCCAGGAGCTTTGTTAAGACAGATTCCAAAGCCCCACTCTCCGTTTTCTGGACTCAGTGGGTCTGGGGGCTGGGGTGGAGGGCTCGAGAATTTACATTTGTAAGGAGCTGCTAGGTGATGTGGATGCTGCTGAATTGCTGGGCCATGGACCATGCTTTCAGGGGCACGCACTGGGAGAGTTGAGGTTTTGGGCTCAGCTTCTACACACGTGTCCTACACAAGTTTGCAAGGCAGGGAGCAGAGGCAGCTGCAGGGGAAACCTAAGGCCCAGCACAGCTGTGGGCAGAACTGAAACTCAGCTGATGGGCATCTCCAGTCAGATTCCAGGTCTCAAGAAATAGTGACTGAACCTGTCCAAGTGCCTGTAACCTTTTATTTGCAAAAGTATTTATCATTTACAGAACATTTTACTTCTGCCCTCTGGTCTCATCTTTGCAACAACTCTGTTATTGTCCACATTTTAGATGAGGAAACTGGTGTCCAGGGAAATGAAGCGGCTTGCCCAACAGTCCGGAATTTCAGGGTTGGATGGGACAAGTGTTTATGGAGCAGATTCAATGTCCCCAGCAACAGGCTAGACATGGGTGACTGAGAGATAAGCAAGAAAGGGGCTGCACCCTCAGGGAGCCTCCAAATTCAGAAGAGGGGGATGCCACATGTTCCTATCACTGCCATGGGGAGCCGTGTCTGGTGGGTGCTGTGGGCACCTCTCCCACACACATTCATTCCATGCCCGCTCTGTGGCCTGGCATCTCCCCTGGGGTTCCGATCCTATTACATTCTGATGACTCCCAGAACTCTTCCCAGGCTGATTGCATAATTGCTCCTGCTGCCTCATAGGACATGCCCACTGAGGCCCATGTGGGGTCCATCATTTTCTAATATGTCCTTGGAAGGGGTATTCCACCTGCCCCATCACTCATGTTGGGCATCTGGTTTTCAGTTTCCTCCCTCATCTTCATCCCCAACTTTAAATTGTGCCATTTTCAACCCCTAAGTATTCACTATATCCATCTCCTCTTTGGCTTTCCCACGAACACACTAGTTTGGTTTAGTCAAGATGTCTCCCTGCTACCCCGAGTAGGTGTAGCAGCATCCTGTTGGACTTCCTGTCTCCATCTTACCACCTCAAAGCTGTCCTTTAAAAGGCAAAGTGGGCATGGAGTGAATGTGTGGGAGAGGTGCTCATTCATATCCTGTTTCCATGGCTCTCCAATCATCGACCTGTCCATCTATCAACTCGCTCATTTACCCAGACACCCATCCATCCACCCATCCTTCTAACTGTCCATCCATTCATCCAGGTCTCCATTTATACAACACTCGGTTAATTTCTGTTACACAGAAGGCACTACACTCAATACTGACCCCTAGAGTCGAGTTACTTTTTTTTGGGGGGTACTGGGGATTGAACTTGGGTCCTTGCGCTTGCAAGGCAGGCCACCAAACCGCTGAGGTAAATCCCCAGCTCCTAGAGTCGAGTTACTTAAGACTTAGAAGAGGAAGACAAAGGAGCGCATATAAAAAGCATAGGATTTTATGGAGTCATTGGAGATGACCTAAGCTAATCAGGAAAGCCTGTGCTGAGCAATGACAGTTGGTCTAAGCTTGGAAGGAGGAAGGACTGTCCAAGCAGAGGGGAGAGGGCCGTGGATTCAGCTCAGTGGTTCTGCCATTGCTTTGCAAGCGCAAGGTCCTGAGTTTGATCCCCGGTACCAAAAAAAAAAAAAAAAAAAAAAAAAAAAAAGCCTCCAAGCAGAAGGGAGAATCTTCGTGTGGAAAAATGTGAGCAACACATCAAATGCAAGAGGAGAGGAGTGCACTTGGGGAACTGAAAATAGTATGGCATGACAGAATCTAGGTAGAACCTAGGCATGGCCAGAGAAGAAACAGCAAGAAGCTGTAAAAACAACAACTAATTAGAAGGAAAGTAGGTCACAGGGGCAACTCTGAGAGGTTTCTCAGTTTCCAGTCCTTAAGGCTGTCAAAAATTATCTCTTGGATGGATGGGTGGGAAGGTGGGTGGATAGAGAGGTGAGTGGGTGGCTAAGTGAAATGTAGATGGATAGATTAGTGAGTGGGTAGATGGATGGACGGATAGGAGTGTGAGTAAATGATTGGATAAGTGGGTGGATAGGTGGTGGGTGAGTTGATTTGTGGGATGAGGAATGAGTTGGTAGATAGAGGAATGGATGAATGAGTGGATAGATGGCTGGGTATGTGGGTGAATGGGTGGAAAGACTGATGGAAGGGCTGATGAGTAAGAGACAGATGAAGAGACGGGCGAGGGAATAGGCAGACAGATGAGTGAATGAACAGGTGGACAGATGGGTAGGGGTGGTGGATAGGTAGATTGGTAGGGGAGTTTTGAGGCTGGGTTCTGGAGCAATTATGTCAGGAATAGAAACAGGAAATGGAGAAAGAGGATCTGTGGCTCCTCTGCTCTGGCTGCCTGAGCTGGACAGAGGACCCTGCTTTTTCATACAGACCTGATTACAGTTAGTTCTTGCTTCTGCCATTTCCTGAAGACAGGTGCTCCCAGCTGGAAATGACACCTTGCCAGGAGTGTCCCTTCTCTACCTGACCCCCAGAAAGCCTTGATCTTCAAAAAACAAAGACCACATCAGATGCAGAAGTGTTCTGCAACTGGAAAACACAGAATGGAAAAACCAAGCCACATATCTCACGAGTCCTCCACTCACCAGACATGTTTCTGTATTCGCTCTCTCTTCCAGCACCACACTCAGCAGCCTCCACTCTACAGATGAAAACCCTGAGGCTCTGAGAGATGAAGCAACCTGTTACATCTCTTCAGTTGGGATGAGGCAGGCCAGGTTTTGAACTCCAACTGGCACACACTTTCCTTTATACTTCCATCTTGCACTGTTTATCAGGCTCCCCTCTGAGCAACTATCCTCAACCTCCAGGCTTAGCCAAGCCCCAAGTCTCAGAGAAACCACTTCAGGAATCGGCAGCCTTCGTCGCGGGCTGGTCCCCCACATCCAGAGGATGCTCTACCAGGCCAACTATTCCTTCAACACCACTGTGGAAAGAAAACCTACTGTGTGCCCAGTCCACAGTCTACCAAGGTGGAGGGCACTGCAGGAAGGAATTGCAATGTCAATGTTATCATCCAGCGAAGAAAGATACTGAAAAGATACCACACTCAAAGTGACTCACTGCTAGAAGCACATCATTAGACAAAAATGCTAGTCAGTGCAGGGGGCTTCAAGGATTCTGATGACCGGGGGAAATTAAGCCCCCAACAGGAAGGTAACATCTCTGAGAGGAGTGAGTGGTCTCTTACAGGTTCCAAGTTGGGGGTGGAGGAGCCTGCATGCTGGCTTTCAGCGGGCACATAAACAATAATCTCATTCGTCATCACTTCTGTGGGGCACTCAGGCACGCACAGACAGTTACTCACGGTGCCAGGCGCTGCCGTGGGGGCCCAGCCCACCGAGCTGAGTTTTCTGCCAACCTGGCTTCTGTCCCCAGGAGATGGCCAACCCTCCACACTTCACACAAGCTTTCCAAAAAGAGGCTATTTCCCTCTGAGGAAGATGTAGAAATCTGACTGCATTTTTCTTCAGTTCCCATCTTTCCCTCAAACGGCCCTGTTCCCACAACAAATGGACAGAAGAGTCTCATTTCTCAAACCGGTGTAGCAGTTTCAACATTCAGTCCCCTCTGAGTCCACACAGTCCCGGAGTCATTGTGGCTGGCACTGCCAACCCATTTCACAGAACCTAAAGCCCAGAGAGGCTAAATCAATTGCTCAAGCCCACACAGAAAGTCAGGGTCTGAACCCAGAACCCAGAAACTCAGGCACCATCCTGCTGCCTTGAAGCTGTTTTTGACCACAAACCATAGCAAGACATACACTTTTCAATGGGACCCAGCCCACACAGGCACATCCACACATATATAAGCAACACTTACCTCGATATTTTCTGTTCTGTTTCATTTCTTAGATGCGGCTCATGAGCTACTAAATGAATTGTCTGACCCACAAATGAGTCTGCTTAAACACAGCAGGGTGGCCGCCTGCCTATGTTGCCTGGCTTCTCTGAGACCCTCCAGGTCCCAGGAAGGCAGTGTGCTCTCTACAGCCGGGTAGGGAGCAGGCAGAAAGAAGTCAGTGAAGCCCCAGCCTTGGTAGCTCTTGGTATCAGGACGGAGGGAGTCCTCTGGTGGGGGATCTGGGACGAGACCACTCTGCCCCTGCTCACCCAGCTGGGCTCTGCCCTGCACCCTCCAGCAGCCGGGATTCTGCAGCAGCTCCTCAGAGCCTGGGTGGCCCTGCAGCCAGGAGGAGCTCTCCCTCCGGCGGTTTCCTGTACCTCCCAGTGCCGCTGCCGCTGGGAGGACTAGAAAATCCCCAGCCGGGGGCCGCCCATTCCTGAGCTGAGGCAGAATCATGTGAACTCCAATCTGGTGTCAGGCTGGGCGGTTGCCGAGGAACCACACGGCAGCAGGAGGATGAGGGCGGCAGAACTGCTCCCTCCTCGTATCCTCCATCCTTCAGGCTTTCCACACACCCAGGTGGGTGAGGAACCCTGCCAGCAATGCTGAGACCTCAACTGGAGACAGGTGCCTTTGGGCACTGGGGGGACACAGGAAGAATGGGCTGTGCTAACTCTATCAAACCAGGAGCGATAGGACAGTGAGCCCCTGCCCGGAAGTCCAAATGGAGCCCCTCGGGGCCACAGCCAGATGACTACGGTACACTGTGGTCACTGCTGTAGTGTGGACTTGGCCAAGGACAAGGAGGAGAAGCAGGCAGAGAGGAAGCTGTTTTCACTCCTGTCCTCAAGCTGCTACCCTTCCCCCAGGGCAACCAACATCTGGGTCAGTGGGTCTCAGCCATGGCTTTAGAATACACCCAGGATCCTCTAAAAAACACAAGCGCACCTGGAGCAGTGGCACAAGCCTGTAATCCCAGCACTTGGGAGGCTGAGGCAGGAGGATCACTGTGAGCTCAAGACCAGCCTGAGCTATATAGTGAGTTCCAGGTCAGTCTCAACTACATAGTGAGACCCTGTCTCAAAAAAACCAAAAACTAACTAACTAAATAAATAATAAAAAACACAAGCGCTCAGGTCCCACCCCAAGCTAATTAGGTTTTTTTTTTCAAGCCTCCCTGGATGGCTAAATAAAGTGCTGCCAGGGTGGGGAACTGATGCTCTGGCAAAGACAGATGGGGTCAACAGGCAAGACAAAGGGGTCAAGGTTCTGGGCAGGAATTAGCAATCACTGTTTGAAACCAAGTGGCCCAGAGCAGGGAACAAGACAGAGCTCGGCCTGCTGGGCCCTTGTGGCTCTCACATTCAGTGCTCCTCCTCCCCTCAGTACACAGGAGGGCACAAAGCCTGCTGGAGGTTACCCAGCTCGGCTCCATTTGACAGGTGGGGAAACTCAGGCTCCTAGGAGTAGAGGCTCTGGGCCAGGGCCTGGCTGCTAACAGATGACAGAGCTGTGACTGAAGCCTGCTGTTGTTCACTTCAGGTGCCCGGATCTTTTGCCTCAACTGCCTCCTTCTAGGCTCCTCAGAAGCCAGGAAGCCAGTACACACCATGCATGGGGTCCTGTGGGGACACGACTTCTCCCTACCCCATCACGTGATCTGGAGGACCCATCTTCTCCAAGCAGCAAATTGTCACAGACCTGTCAGGGACTGTGTGAGTAGCACATGCTACCACTGAGCAGGCGTTTTTCAGCTGTCGCTTCATGAGTTGCTGCTGTAGGCCTTAAGTCACAAGCCAGGCTGCCACTTGTCCCGGTACAGTCATCTGCACTTGGACACAAATACTATTCCTGAGAATAGAGAAGTCTAGAGGTGTCACTGGTCTCCTCTGTTGTCACATGGGAGGACTCGGGGGTTGGAATGTAGGACCAATGGTGACTGTCGCTATTGCCAAATCACACCCAGCAATGAGAGCACCTACGGTTCCCTCCACAGGGGACTCCAGCCTAACAGGACACACAGATGTCAATACCATCACCGTCTATACCTGCAGGTACCACCGACGGCAACGGACCCCTCCTTCCCCTGGCAGGTCCCCCCTCCCAGGGACCATAGGTACCCCAGGCCCCAGCTGGCAGATGCGCCCATTCCCACCAAGGGTAGGAGCCCCTCCTCTCTCCAGGCCAGGGCCTTGGGGATGCGGAAGGAATTCAGCCTTACTGAGCTGGTGAAGCCCACTCGTAGAGCCCATGCTGTGTTCTTTGGCACAAAGATCATTTTTAAGCAAAAGCAAGAAGTGAAGATGAGACATAGAAATGACACTGGGAAGCATCTCAGGACCCTAAAGGGCCCTTAACCTCCACCTGCTCAACTTCTCTGAGAAAACCTACTACTAAGTAGTGAGCCTGTCACAAACCAACCTTCTAGAGAAGCCCTGCTCCACCCCTCCAGGCTTCTACCCTCCAACCCCCAGTGCAGAAGGTGAAGAGTGGCCACCACCAGAGGCATCTGCTGAAGGGTGAGAAGCCTGAGCCCAGTGCTCTGCCCCCGCCTCTGTGGCCACTCCTATCCCGGAAGATGGCACCTGAACTGGGCCAGGCCTGGCCTCATTTTCTTGCTCCTCCCCCAGTGATGGCAGTCAGGAAGCACCATGGACCCCAATCAGGTGGTGGCCGGACATTCCTCTCCTGCCCCAGCATAAATGTCTGCTCTTAGGACCTGCCTCTGAAAGGCTGTGGACTTTTCTCAGCTGCTCTGGGAGCTACTTTGAGGGCCACAGACTTTGAGACCACACCACCTATGTTTACCCTCTGGCCCTCAAGAGGCCCAGGCAGCCTGGGACTCAGCATAGAGAGGACCCTGGGGTCCAGCCCTCTGATGGCATTGTGAATGGCCTCCAGCAGATGGCAGCAAACCCGCTTCCTAGCTCCATGACCTTGAGGATGACATGCTCTACTTCCCAAAGGACTTCTGTGAGAGTCAAAGGAAGTGAGGCTCAGTGAGTGTTTGCCCTTAGGTCCTCAGGGAGAGAGGATCGAGGATGCCATGACCACCGTGGTGGCGATGATAATGACAACGATGGCACTCAGAGAGTGGAGGATGCAGCCAGCTTGGTACGGTTGGTTACGGGCACCGTCTTTTCCCCACTGGGGTCTGGAGGTGCTCAGATCACTCTACTGATGTGGGGCAGTCAGGGCGAAGGACAGTGGAGCTCCAAGTCAGCCGTGTGCAGCATGGCAGCAAGGCCTTCGCTGACTTGTCTCCCCGGATGGGGGTCCTCCATGTCAGCACACACTTGCTCACCTGTACACACGGCCGTGTTGCACTACTGTAGGTGGGACGGGGCCAGGTCAGAACTCAGGGTGGCTTTGCTGCAAACATCAAGGTCCAAGAGGGAAGGGCAGAGAATATCTATCCCAAAGTGCCCGGCACCAAGGCCTACTGGGGTTAGAGGAGAGCCTGGAGCCACGCAGTACGCAGAGCAGCCATTGCCCTTCCTGAGCCTGTGCCATGCTGAACACCTCCTGAATACTCTTCATGTTAATCCTCACATCAGCACTGTGCCACAGGGTCATCTCTGTTTCAAGTACGAGGCAAATGAGACTCAGAGACTGTAAGCCACACGCCCAGGGGAACACAGCCCTGATTTGAACCCAGGGCTGTTTGCCTCACAAAGACAGAGGTCTGGTCCACTGCATTTATGTCCAATTGCTGGTGTAAAAAAAGAAAAATGCTGCAAATTTAGTGGCTCGAAACAACCCAGTTTTCTTATCTTACAGTTCTGGAGCTCCAAAGTCTGACACAGGTCTTACTGGGCTAAAATCAACAGGTTGGTCAGCAGGGCTGCATTCCTTCTGGGCGAGGGGATGTCCGCACCCGCCCCCCCACTTTCCAGCTTCTAGAGGCTCACACATCCCTAGGCTGGGACACCCTTCCATCTTCAAAGGCCGTGGTGTGGACTGAGCCTGCTCTCCCACCACCACTTCCAAGAACCCTTGTGATACCACTAGGCCAGCCCACTCAACACATCTCCTAGGCTCAGCTGATTAGCAACCTTAACTCCACCGGCGACCTTGGTTCCCACTGCCATATGCAATAGCACAGTCACCAGTTCTGGGATTAGGACCTGGACATCCTGAGTTGGAGAATTTCTCTGCCACCCATACCTGCCTTGCTATTCAGATTTAAAAGCCTCTACAGCAGCACTTCTCAAGTGTCAGGGTAGGCAGAAATCTCTAGGAATCTTCTTGAAGTCTCTGGTTCAGTAGGTCTGAGGTGGGAGTTTCTAACAAGCTGAAGCCCACCTTTATCTCCTATGCCCAGCGGTTAGAATGACGCTGACATTTGCGCACTATACGCTTGATAATTGAAAGAAAGGGTAGGAAGGGAAGAAAGAAGGAAGGAGGACAGATATCTGGATATTGCCAGCCACCCCCACCCAAACCAGGACAAAGTCCAGAGCAATGAAAGTAAAGCCACTTTGGACCAATCAGCAAGGACAGTTGTGATGGGGCCAGTGGTGACTGCCCTGCTACTCCCAAGTCACACCCAACAAAGAGGGCGCCTATAGGGGTGGTCTTGGAGCTATGCCCTGAGGGCAGTGTGGGCAGCAGCAGGCTGAAGAGTGAAGGAAGGAGGAGGTCCCTCACCCCTTGGCACCCTGAACTATGGCCCGATTTATAGTCTATCCTCTTCCTGGCCTCTGCTCCTCTTCCCTAAATGTCCTTCATCCATCCTTTTCGTATTCTACTTTGCAGTCTTCAAGGCCAATCCTCCCCCTGCCCCCAAGTTCTCCCAAGCAGATTTCCAAGTGAACTTCAGGATGCCATTATCAGTAACTCTTCAATGCCTGTTCCATGCAGGTCCCCAGGCCCTGCCTGGGCCTCACTGTCTCGGAATCTCCTAGGGATGACGTCAAGAGGCTGAGTTTTTAACAGTTCCCCTGGGGTTTCTGAGGGCACCTCATCATTAAGGCCCAACTTCAACACCACCCCCTCCACACAGTACCGGCTGACACAATCAGGCGTTCCGGCCTCCCTCCACTTTGCAGGATGGACTCCCTCCTTCTCTGGGTCCCTTTCATCCTTTCCTGGCTGGCCAGTGGCTTCTGAAAGGCAACAGCAGGATTTTTTGTTGTTGTTGTTGTTTTTTGTTTTTTGAGACAGGGTCTCACTATGTAATTGAGACTGACCTGGAACTCACTATGTAGCTCAGGCTGGCCTCAAACTCACAGCGATCCTCCTGCCTCAGCCTCCCAAGTGCTGGGATTACAGGCATGTGGCATGTATCACTATGTAGCTCAGGCTGGCCTCAAACTCACAGCGATCCTCCTGCCTCAGCCTCCCAAGTGCTGGGATTACAGGCATGTGCCACCATGCCTGGTATGATGTCTTATTTTGTGGTGATGAAATCTGGGCCAGGGCTTTTCACGAAGAAAGAGACCAGTTAGGAAGCTTCAGATGACAGCTGGGGACGCAGGGTTAGTACCATGTGCGAGGCACGGTGCTTTCCACAGGGCTTTGAAGCACTCACTGCCACTCTGCAGACATT